CTGTGGTTGTATGACTCCGCCCACCAGTCCAGTGTCTCTGACAGTCTCCATCCATGTCAGTGAAAACATGGATGCTTCACACACAGAAGATCTATACAATCAGCACAGTTTCAAGATTAGAGTCACCAATTCAGTATCTGACCAAATGTCTCCCCTTCTGTTCCTGAGATATGATGTTAAAACATGATGATGTCACAGTCAAGCTGACCTTTGACCTTTTGACCTTCATTATTTTATCCTGTTAGACATTTGTGTCAAGTTTGGTCATGATCAGTTTAGGAGCTCTTGAGTTATGGACAATAAACTTGTTTTGTGAGGTCACACTGACCTTTGACAGTCAAAATCCAATCAGTTCATCGTTGGGTCCAAGTGGACGTTTGTGCCAAATTTGATTTTTTTAAAATTCCCTTCAGGCAATATGTTTACAAGGACCTGAAAACATGATGTCACCGGCGCAGAGGCAGAAAAATTCATGTGATGTTAAGAAGTCTTCACAGAATAAAAATGTATGAAAAACTGCATTTTGACAAGAACGTCAGAACTACAAGTTCAGGGTGACTCGGTGCGTTTGTCGTCTGAGTGCAGAGAGACAAAGAAACAACGGTTTGTGCCGGCAGTGAAGATGTTAGAATATTTCATCAGATAAAAACCTGTTGATGTTCATTAAAGAAAGAAAACACTCTCCTGTGATCGGACCGACATTAATTCATTCAGCTCTGAAAAAGAAAACAAACCAAATGTTATTCAGACTTTAAACCAGACAAACGTGTGTCAGATTGAAGCTTCTGTTCACGTGTGGATCATTAAACCATCTGAGGTCGTGTTAGAAACATGTCAGAGCTTTTCTTCAGGCAACGTTCACCTTAAAACACAAAACCTTTCAGAGTGTTTTCACATTTAGTCCTTTTTAAACAAACTGAACTCTTAAAGTGCACCAAAAAGTGGAGCAACAGAAGAAGGACTCAGTTCTTCCTGTTCACACTGTAGCCTGAATATAATATATACTGACAGTTTTGTTTTTACGTTAACATGTCCCTGCAGTGCGGTTATGAAGCTCCGCACTTTCAGATGAACTTATTGTTCCTGTTTGATGTATTCTATGTTCCACATCTGGAGACGTGCAGTATCTTCTGTGGACCAAAACGTGGTTTCGTCTGTTTTTTTCAAGCGTCCCAGGTCAACAGCATGAGATCCAGAGGGTTTAATACAACTGCAAAGAGCAGAGTGAACCTGGAGCATTTGTGTTCACAGGTCACAGGTTCAGCGAACCGCACCACGGACTTGAAGCAAACCAAACTCAGACTATGTCCCGAGGTGGTCTGAGTTCAGTTCACCCCTCTGAGTCTGTTTAGAGTGCTGAAAAGACGAAGTGTGAAAACAGCCTCAGAAACGGTTTCCTTTTCTTAATATTAATATTAAATTTGAATCAGTGACTTTTGTTGAAGGAATGTTGGAACTTTGTGTTTCTATTTCTGTCTTTATTAAACTAACGAACCAACATCAGGAGTTAAACAGTGCAGACAGACACACAGACACAGGAGTTAAAGGGTTAATCCATCAGCTCCTGATACAAAAGGACTGGTCACCATGGTAACAGAGCCAGATCTGTACGGAAGCCCGTTCCTGCCAAAAGTTAAATCCTGACATTTCTCTGAGACGTTCTGAACAGCAGCTTTCAACCACGTCACATGATCCTCCTCCGCAGACGGAGTTCATCCAGCCGTCTGAAAACTACATTTTAGATTTCCTATTTTTTTTAAACAAACTGTTTATTCATAATCAAATGAAGAATTATTCAACGTTCAGAAAACAAACACACAGATTAGAAATGTGTGTTTTTAAAGAGACGAATCTCCAAAAATAAAATTGAATTTCCTTTTTTTTTTTTCCACTTGTTGATTTAAAAACTTGAGACTTTGTTCTTGTCCTGTAAATCTGTCGATGCAGATCATGTGATGTGATCAAAAGCTCAGGAGGAGCCATTAAAGGGTGAGATTATTCTTCACAACTTTTGTTGTCAATGTCAGTTGTAAACTCTGAGTTTTTTTAAAATTTGATTTAACTGTTAAAATATATTTCATTGAGTTTTTTTTCTTTTGATGTTTTGTGCGGGCAGGAAGGAGCCTCCATATGTCTGAACCTCAACAAAACCTTGTGTCATTTATGTGACAAACAAAATGAAGTTCTTCAAATATAAATTAATGCGACTACACTGACGTCTCTACTGACAACAACAATGACGACGACAACACAGACAGGAAGTAGAAAATACATTCTGACCGACAGTTCCTACGTTTACACGTTAACTTTTTACAAAATGTCACAGGAACAAAAACACGTCAGGTCAAAGTTCAGGAGCTTCTCAGAGGACAAATACTGACGAGATGTTGTTTGTCTCCACACACACACACACACACACACACACACGTTTCAGCATGTCGTTCTCTTCTGGAGAAAATCCAGCGGTCGCCTGATGACATCACAGGAAGTGTCAGAGGAGGTTTTTCAGCCACAAACAGACAAACATTAATGAAACAGACTCTGACTGTGTTTTCATGATGACACAGAAACATTACACATGTAAAGTAAATTCTTATAATTAACACAAACTCTGCTCAGCGTCTCCAACACACCCTCAGGGTCAAAGGTCAAAGTCTGACTTTAATGTTTTATTCTCTGTTGTTATTTCATATCTGTAGTGTGTGTGTGTGTGTGTGTGTGTGTGTGTGTTTGTGTGTGTGTGTCAGTAGTCACATGTTTGTAGTCGGGGCGTTGCACCAGATTCTGGACTCTGTGCATCAAGGAAAGACTTGATGGAGTATGTTAGTGCTGCAGTCACTCACTCCCTGCACTCTACCTGTGTTTAGAGACCAGTCCAGGTGCCGGCGGACTGAGCCGCACCTTAAAGCTCCAGAGCAGCTGAATCTGATCTGATGGTTGTGTCTTCTTTAATCAGCTCAGAATGGTTGTGAATGAGCAGTTTATATCTCCACAGGCAGCAGGTCCTCGTCTACAGAGATCACCATGTTGCACCGCCATGTTTCTACAGTAGCCCAGAACGGTCAAACCAAACACTGGCTCTAGATAGAGACATTCATGTGTTCATAATCAGCTGGTGTGTTTGTTTCTGAGAAGAAGAGACCTCTGACAATAATTCAGCTCCTCAACAATCAACACTGAAGGAATTCTGACCAGAAGAAGTTTCAGATGGTTGTAATCTGTAATCTGTAATGTCATCTGTAATCTGTAATGTGTCATCTGTCATGTGTAATCTGTCATCTGTAATGTCATCTGTAATCTGTAATGTCATCTGTCATCTGTAATCTGTCGTCTGTAATGTCATCTGTAATCTGTAATGTCATCTGTCATCTGTAATCTGTCGTCTGTAATGTCATCTGTAATCTGTAATGTCATCTGTCATCTGTAATGTGTCATCTGTCATGTGTAATCTGTCATGTGTAATCTGTCATCTGTAATGTCACCTGTAATCTGTAATGTAATCTGTCATCTGTAATCTGTCATCTGTAATCTGTCGATCACATGGAGGCGCAGAATGTTAAAAGCAACAGCGATGTGTTTCTGGGACGAACATGAAAAGTTTGGGAGGAAAAATGAACTTGAGACACGCTCACATTGAAACAGCGACTGGTTACGAGCCTGAGATCTTCATCAGGTGACCTGAGGGTGGAAACCAGTCTGTGTTTTAATGCGTTTGTGGTCCCTGAACACACCGCCGCCTCCTTCTCCAACATATAAAGTTTAACTTTTTATGTTTTATAAATAAATAAGAATATTGTTCTAATGAGAAGGTTTTTTTTTTAACATGAAAAGTTTCTTGCTCTAAAATGACATCATTTTGTGAGAGTGAAAAACATCTTCTTATAACAAGAAACTTTTCATGTCATCACCTGACTCTGATCAGCTGTTGTGTTTCTGTAGACTGTAAAAACTTTTTCCTTTCAATGTTTTAACCTTAAAAAAGTGTTTTATGAACAAAAGTTATTATTAAAGTTTGTTGTAACATGAAATATAGATGATGAAGTTTAGAGTTTCAGATTTGATTTTTACTTCCTGTTTTTCTGTTTGTTGGTTGTTTGTTATGATGACGTGTTTCTGTGTCAGTCAGGCGATTTGATCTTTAATCATGGATTCACCTCTGACGTCCTGCAGAGACACCGTCAGTCGTCAAAGCGTCAACTCACGAGGAAACAGAAAACTTCAAACGACAGATTTCAGACTGCAGCTCTGCAGCTTCAGTCTCTGATGTTCGTCACCACAGAAACTTCCCTTCATCTTTAAACAGGACGTGTGGCGTCACGTGTGGCGATGAGGTCATGAGAAGCACCCGAACTCTGACCTCAGGTGTGATTTTATTTTGAAGGGACAGAATGAATTAATTTGTCGTCTTAAATATTTTCCAGCGGCGTGTTTAACATCTACAGATTCTACTTGTTCTTAGACGGTCAGTAAAACGTCTGTCACTTTCTACGGAGCTCAGATCTGTCGATCACTGATATTGATTATTGGAAACCGTCATCCCGCCTCAGTCATGTGACCTGGATCCTCACTGACAGCTGCAGGTGAGCTGATGACATGTTACAGGTGTGAGCTTCTTACAAAGTGCAGACCTCCTCTGTGGGCGGGGTCACTGGTCCCAGTTCAACCAGTCTGAAATTCTCTGTAAGTGCTGAAGGTTCCGTGAAGACACCGCCTGGCGCCATTCACACCTGTTTCCTGTACAAACACAAACTCTACGTCTGACGTGCTATGACTCATTTAGGACGACGAGGTGACGTTCCCTGAGGACGCCACTGTTGTCTCCCTCGGCGAGTACTCCGCCTCCTCCTTGTTGGGATGGGAAGAGTTATCCGACTTGCTGCGGCTGAACTCTGCCCCCATGATTGGACCTGTGAACTTGGCATTCGGCCGGACGCAGGCGGTGCAGCACAGCAGCGTCTTGAGGAAGGCACGGCGCATCTCGTTGCTGGTTAGCGTGTAGATGAGCGGGTTCATGGCGGAGTTGAGGACGGCGAGCGCCAGGAACCACTCGGCCTTGTAGAGGATCGGGCAGCTCAGCGTCTCACAGGCCGCGTCCAGTAGCAGGAGGATGAAGAGCGGTGCCCAGCAGGCGATGAAGCAGCTCAGGACGATGATGACGGTCTTCAGTAACGCCATCGACTTCTCCGAGCTCTTGATGTTGGCGCCGGCGTTGCCGCGGCCGTTGGACACCTTGCGGAAAACGAGTTTGCGGCTGCGAGTGCGCACCAGTGCGTAGATGCGAGCGTAGAGCACCACGATGGCCATGAGGATGATGCTGAAGACGGTGGTGCAGAACAGGATGTAGGTCTTGTGGTAGAGCGGCAGCACGGTGGAGCACTGCGTCATGCTCTGGATGCAGTTCCAGCCCATCACCGGCAGGCCGCCCAGCACCGCCGCGATCATCCACACTGTGCTGATGAGCAGGAAGACGCGGCAGGTGTTGCCGTTGTTGTGGAGCTTCATCTTCAGCATGGTGAGGTGGCGCTCAATGGCGATGGCGAGCAGGCTGAAGACAGACGCTGCTAGCGCCACAAACATGCTGCCCTCCCTGAAGAACCACTGCGTGGGTGTCAGCTTGTAGGTGTTGGCGCCCGACAGCAGGATGTTGGCGGTGTAGACGATGCCGGCCAGCAGGTCGGACAGCGCCAGGTTCCCGATGAAGTAGTACATGGGCTTGTGGAACTTCTTGGTCCTCCAGATGGTGGCGAGGACCAGGATGTTCTCCAGGATGATGAAGCAGCACACGATGATGAAGACCACCGAGTCGGCCTTCAGGCCCGAGTCCTGCTGCGTCTTGCGGAACTTGCCGGTGTAGTTGTAGTGTTTGGCGATCAGGTCAGAGTAGCTGGGCTCAGCCATGGCCTGCAGGTGCAGCAGGAGTCCAGCGGGGGGCGCTGCGTCCTCACACTTCAGTCCTTCATGTCAGGTAGTAACCCTGAAGAGGAGCAGAGACAGTCCTGCTGCTGGAGGGGGACATGGTCCTGCAGGGAGACAGACAACGTCACGTCAAAACACTCTCTTAAACCTGGGACTCAATTCGACACCAAAACACTTTAATCTGCTTTTAGTAAAAAATCACAGGCTGTTAATGAACGTCTGCGCTCGACTGAAGAACATTTACGTCATCATAAACCAGCTGAAGGTTCGTCCAGTTGAACCTTCAACATCTGATCTGTGATCAGCTCGTTAGAAACAAACTTTAACCTCCTCCAACACTCAGAGTGTCTCTGAACCCTCCTGTTACCTGCAGGTCGGTCTGACCACAGAGGACAGACGTTGCATCGTCAACAGGAAGAAAAGAGCAGGTTTACTGTCAGAACTCAGCAGTTAATAAAAACTTCTTTTTACTGAAGAACATTTACATCATCACAAACCAGCTGAAGGTTCGTCCAGTTGAACCTTCAACATCTGATCTGTGATCAGCTCGTTAAGGAACAGACTCAGAGTGTCTCAGACCTCTGACTTTATTTATCACGACTGTTCTTTCAGCAGGTTTGACTTTAGAAAGCAGATTTAAGACACTGAGTGTTGGAGGAGGTTAAAGTTTGTTCTCTAACGAGCTGATCACAGATCAGTTATTGAAGGGTTAACTGGACGAAGCTTCAGCTGGTTTATGATGATGTAAATCTATAAGATAAATGTTCTTCAGTTATTAACTGCTGAGTGACTCTAGCTCTAAAGAATGTTTATTCAGAGCGCAGGCTGTTAATGAAGATCTGCCTTCTGCTGGAGAACATTTACATCATCATAAACCAGCTGAAGCTTCGTCCAGTTAACCCTTCAATAACTGATGTGTGTCATCAGCTCTTCAGAGAACAATGTTCCTCAGAGTCTGGCACGACTTCATGACGTGCTGAGGAAGATTTGAATCTGTTCCTGGATCAGCTCATGAAAAACTAAACGTCCTTCACACTCTTCATCTGTACCGAGGTCAGACTGAGGAAGCTTCAACCTCACTTTGCTTCATCAGTAAACTGAAGTGATGTGTGATCAGCTCGGCAGAGAACAAACAAACAAACAAACAAACAAACAAACATCCTGATAAACACGTTAATGTTGAATGAGTTCAGCTGCAGAGAAAAGAACCGAAACTTCTCTGATCAGATGAAACATGAAGCTGATCAGTTATCGATCACTTATCACTTTTAGCTTCGTACAAACACTTTTGTAAATAATCGGATTTAAGTTTGGTGAGAAATCGATCACGTATCAGTGTTTATTAACGGTTACATTGTCTTCAGAAATTCGATCATTCGAGTTATTTTCGACAGAAAAACAAATAAAAGATACCCTGACGTCACTTCGTCACTTTAGTGTGATTAGTAAATAATGTAAAAGGCTTCCGTTAAGTCTTTACTGTGACTCTGACTCTCCGTTAAAGCGGGTTCCCGTCGACAGGCTGAAGCTGAAGCTCGTGAGGCTCCGCACATTGAATCAAATCAAACTCAACATCAGCTTCATGAAATAAACGAGATCAAACAGCTGATGATGAAGATTCACCGGAAGTTTGAAATCAAAAATCAGTTCAGAGATTAAAGAGAATTTTTACCTTTAGAGTCCGAAGAGAGGAAAGAGTCCGACACACCGCAGCTGAGACACTGCACAGAGACAACGCGCGCGCGCGCGCGCACACACAC